TATAAATATATAAAATACTTTCAGTATTGACATTTTATATATATATATATAATACTTTCAGTATTGACATTATAGAAGTGCAAACATATGTACCATAACACAGAAGGCAAAGTTTGTATTCTACAGTATATAAAAGATAAAAAATTATTTTCTTTACAGGAAAAGTATGAGAATATCTTAGCATCTCTAAAGGTCAAAATATTCACCTATTTTTCCTTAATTTTGAAATAAATTGACTATGCTTCAAAGAAAATATTTACTAATCTAAACCAAATCATAACATTCTCTAAGCAAATTTCACACATTACATAAATCTAATATGGGCTGCATAACAAGAACTCTTAAGCATTTTGCCTGAAAACACATAAAAGTAGACCAGTTTCCTCAGACAACTTCATTAATGGGGAGACCTATCCCAGTAGGCCAAAGTGAGCACCTGGAAGGCTGAGATCACAGGTCTGGAAACCCCGTGCAGAGAGGCATGTAGGGAGAGGATCTGAGCAGTGGCCTGGGGCAATGGAGTTAGGGCAACCTCCTATTTTCTTTTTCTTTTTTGGTATGGAGGATCGAACTCGGGCCCTTGTGCTTGCGAGGCAGGCACCAGATCCACTGAGCTAAATTCCCCACCCTGGCAACCTCCTGTTTTCATGTGGGACTGAGAAGGGCCCAGAGAAGTCCTCAGCTCAGGTCAGCACACATCAATCAACAGGTGACACAAAAGCAAGACAAGCACATCCCCTTCTAAAAACATTTCTGAGGTGATTAGGAGACCTTGCTTTCTTTGGGAACAGAAAGGTGGTGTTTCGGCCAGCAGCTATGCAACACAGGTAACATCATTTATCTTCTCAGTGGCTGAAAGAAGGATTTCTTTATAAACACTGTTAAGGTTATGACAGAGGTCATTTTTATCGTCATGCCTGAAGGCAACTCCCATCCCCACCCCACTAAATCTGCAGCACCTCTGGCCACAAAAGCCCAGGGTTCCACACTGCGAAACTCAACTAAAGCTGTGTGGTGAGCTGGGGTTCAACGTGCTCAAACTACAGGGGAAGGGGTTAAAGATGTCAGTGGGCATTCTGGTCTGAAACTGGGTAAAGGCAGAAAATGCCCAAACTAGCACAGGCACACAGCTGGGCAAGTGGGTGGTAGCCCCTGACTGAAGCAGGAGCTGAAGTCAAGAATGGAACCCACACTGTTAAACAAGACATTCTTCCCCCAGGAAGGATGACCCAAAGCAATGGGATCTTGAGACCATGCCTTTCTCTAGAACATCTGCCAAAGTTGTTCACTTGTCAGATGCTCATTATTGAAAACACATTTGTGAGCTGGGCATGGGGTGCATGCCTGTAATCGAGGCACTTGGGAGGCTGAGGCAGGAGGATCACTGTGATTTTGAGAACAGCCTGGGCTATAAAGTGAGTTCCACGTCAGTCTCCACTACATAGTGAGACCCTGTCTCAAAAAACCCACATTTGCAGGCTGCGGATTTAGCTCAGCGGCACCGTGCCTGCCTTGCAAGCACAAGGTCCTGAGTTCGATCCCCAGTACCAAAAAAAGAAAAAAAAAGAAAACACATTTGCAAGTATCTTTCAAGAGATATTACTACTAGAAATAAGTCTTTACTAACTTCTCTGAAATGTATAAATAATTTAAAAAGTAGGCTTCAGAAAAAATTAGTTTTGTGGATACACAGTGAAAAAATCATGTTTTAAGTGTTTGTATAGCTTACAATTGTCATGTTTTCTCAACAAAAATTCTCCACAGTTGTTCTTAATTCACAGTTAGCACTCCTTCACTAAAAAGACAGAGAAGATCCTATGTTTCATTACTATTCAAAATGCCCACTAGCCCTGTGTCTTTGGTCTTGAAAGCAGAAAAACATTCACATTTTCATCATACTACATTCAATTGCCTTTCAAGTTTAGAACAGTATATTTTTTAAAAAGACACTAAAACAAAAAATTTAAATCACACATTACAAAACAGTATAACAAGGTGTAAAATATTGCTGAAAGTTACTCAATTAATTACAAATTAACCGTGATGTACTGTTCAGTTAAATATGTTTTTATTATGAAACAGAAAATACCAAGATGATGTAAATGACAGTTCTGGTTTCCATAAGGCTCACCAGGAGTGTGGGTCCCACCTGTCTGAGTGGGTGTACTTGGGGGAGCCACGTGGCCAGGTGTGCACAACTTGCCCTGGCAAACACAGCAGCAGCATATGTCCCCATGGCCCAAGGGCAGGGACGGTGTTAGAGCAGATCTCTGGAAGTGACCCTCAACACTTCTCTTCTTGTGCATTAGTGTCCCCTGAGCTTAGAGAAGACTTCACTCCATGATCCCATGTGCATAGCAATATTTACAGACAATATTACATTGTGCGGACTAACAACAAAATGAAACCTATAAACATATAAAGCAAATGAAACATATAAACAAGCCTATGTTCCAAAGTTGTCATTTCAGTATGAAAGTAAAAGGAAATTATCTTTGCATCTGATATCTATAAATCCAAAAGATGGAGACACTGATATATTCCACTTCAGAAGAATCACACCATCATCTATCTCAAAGCTGAGTGGAAATTATAGCAGGCCCGTTTATATAAATTTTTTATTTTTATTTTTTTGGTACTGGGGATTGAACTCAGGCCCTTGCGCTTGCGAGGCAGGCAGCAGAACCACTGAGCCAAACCCCTGGCCCTATTTAAATTTTTTTTTAAAACCTGGAACTGTCATACTTTCCAGAGAAAAGAGACAAAACCCAAATGCACAGACCTGCCATTGGCAACTAGCAGGCATCTGTGCATACATCTCTATGGTAATACTACTTTTCTCAGATTTTTTCCAAATCCAGGTAATTCAATGGAGATTAAACTGCATTTAACAGTCAGCTTTAAGGACATCACAGAACCTTCCCACCACCCGAATTCCTCATTTTAATACACGGATTTTCAAGATAACACAGTAAGAACTTACTATGCTATATCAACACAAAGCTTTTTGAGGCCTGAGGAAAGACAGTCCTTTACCATTAACTTGGTTTCAATCATACAAGGTCCAATCACATTATCTTTTCTGAAGAAAACATTTTTTCAGCCATTTCAGATCTGGTCATAATTTCCTACAAGAAAAAAAAGAAAGATGCATGAAAATGTTGACACTGCTTCTGGAACCTTAAGATTCTCCAGTGTGGGTAGAGATGGAGCCAGGATGGTGCTCTTAGGTATAGACGTCCGGGAATTCATCTCACTTAATGTATATTTGAAATTATAAATCAATTGTTTATCAGGTAAATAACTGAAATGCTCCTTTAAAAGTAATTATATAACAGCTTTTTGTAGTTATACATCCTCAAGTTTAATGCTGAATAGCAAGGACATCTCAAACATTGCTATCCTGCTACAGTCAAATCAACACACTGATGCAAACTCATTTCCCTCATCTTCCTAGTGTACAGCTCTAGCTACCTCAGGATCTGTAGCTACCACACTGACTCTCACGGAATCTAGCACGCTGTCTGCACTCTTGCTTTGTATGAACGAATTTTCCATACACCCCGCCAGCCTTTAAATCTTAACATTTAATACCTCTTTCTGCCTTGGGCTACCCTTCAACATTCAGTTGACTGACATGTTTTTTTTAACTATCCTAAATCTACATCTTCTATTCAAGTTTCCAGCTTAATTTATGAAAATGAGACAAACTCAACACCCCCAGCAAGTATCAACAAGTATCAGATATTAAATTGCCACTTTAAAATCTCCTAAACTCTTACGTATATCCAAAAACCTTAGAAAACCACTAAAAGTTTCATAAATAATCCTTCTCTTTTACACCAACACTTCTCTTGCTTCTGTATGAAACAAGGATTTTATCCACAAATCTTTGCCACTTTATCACAGTAGCCGTCTATCTGCTCGACTAATAATCATTTAAAAAGGTAACTTTCAAGAATATCTTTCTTTGTGAAAATAACAACTCTAAAGAAATAAGTAAAAACATGTTACCTCATCTGAATCCACTAACACGGGGAGTGCTCTAAAATAAAAGGAAAAAAGTGACAATGTTATTAAAATAAGGCTAGTGAACCCATGAATGTTGAATACAGGACTATCCTATGGCCCAGCAATTGTCACTCCTAAACATACACAACTAACAGAAGGAAACACCTAGGCTCACTAATAGAAGAATTTCCACACAGCACTGTTCTTAATAGACCTAAACGGAAAACAATCCAAATGAATAAAATGTGTTATATTTATACAATAGAAAACTACATAGCTGAGAAAACTGACTAGCTATTGAGGTACAGAATTTCAAAAAACAACAGAATCTACAGTTAACAGATATCAGTACCTATGGAAAAGTGGGCTCCCTATCTGACAGGGAAATTAGGAAGTTTTGAGGGAATTAGTAATGTTCTCCTTTTTGATCTGGGTGCTGATTACACTAATGAATTCATTTTAACAATTTTATGAGCTATATACTCACTTACAATGTGTGTACTTTTAAGAAAGTGTTCTTAAAAACCGTTCCTTTAAAAACTGTTCAAGGTTGACTGAAATCTCAAAATGGAAACATATATAGCATACAATCAGCAGTCCCCGATCCTCTGTCAGTGATGGTGAACCTTTCGCTAGCTGTGGCACATAGGTTTGCCACCACTGACTTATCTACTGGAGGAATAACAATGGCTAAAAACATACAAATAAATAAATAGAAATACAATAGATCTCCAGCTATATTTACTTTTTAATCCCTTGCTATTCTTCCTTTGACCAGGTGCATAAGGTATCTGAGTGGTGATTTGCCATTTATTGAGAAAACCCTAATTTCACATACTTCTGTGAGAATTTAAGAGGGACAAATAAACATATTATGGAAGGTGGTATTTACAGAATCAGGCATTTGTTTAACTTCTGTTTCATTATTACCACTGCTTGGATGCTGGGGACTGGGGTGGTACACAACATATTTGCCCAGGAAGGAAAATATGGACAAGAAGACGTGTGTGAAAATGTTCCAGGAAGCTTAATCTAGCTTCAGTGTACAACACAGCTGTGCAGAGGAGAGCCTGAAGGGAAAGTCTCCACCCACAGCTACAATATGAAAGTCATGAACAATATGCTGGACATGCTCAAGCAAAAGTCAGGCAAGATTTCTACATCCAACAAAACTAGTCTTTAAGATGGAAAGCAAAATAAATGTATTTTCACACAAGTGAGACAGAATTTGTTAGCAAACCTATGCTGCAAAGAATACTAAAGAAAGATCTACAGGAGAAAGCTCTTTGCTCAGATGTGCAGAGAGGTAACAAATACTAATATATGGGTAAGTATAAAAGAAGATGTACACGTTTTCCTCTTCTGTTATAAGAAAAAAGTGTAATAGTGCACTGTTAGTTTTAGTTCCTATTCTGCACAGACTTGATATGCATGAATTTTAGTTACCACTTAATACCAGTCTCTCTACAAGACAGTTCAAGTTCCATTTACTGAAAAGCACATGAGATACTACTTCATGGCTGCTGAGATAAAAAAGGTGGACAATAATAAGTGCTGACAGAAGTATGCAGAAATTAGAATCTTTACATACTACTGATAGAAATATACAACAATGCAGCTGCTTTGGAAAAGAGCTTAGCATTTCCTCAAAATGTTAAAAGGGAGTTATTATATGATCCATCAACTCTACTTCCAGGTATTTTCCAAGAGAAATGAAAATACATGCTTGTGCATGTGTGAGTGCACATGTACACACACACACACACACACACAAACACACTCCTAGATTCATATATTCATAGTAATGAAAATTAAAAAGGAAAATCTTAAAGTCAGATGATCAAGGGCTGGGATGTAGCTCAGTGGCACCCCAACTGCCTTGCAAGGGCAAGGTCCTGAGTTCAATCCCCGGTACCAAAAAAAAAAAAAAAAAAAAAGTTAGCCAATCAACCACATAAATCAAAGCCTACATAACTTTTAAGAGAGATGAAGAACTAAAGCTGGCTTTTCTGGAATTCTGAAAATAAGAAGACATTTAAGTAACAGTCTGAAGTACTGAAAGAAAAAAAAAAATCAACCAAGAATTCTACACACAGCAAAAATACCTTTCAAAAACAGTAAAGCAAAGAATTTTCCCGGCAAATTTGACAGACTCGTTTCAAGAATTTTTCAACTTGAAGAAATATAAAAAAAATTCTTCAGGCAAAAGGAATATCAGAAAATGTCCAAGTAGGAACCAAATGGAAACAAGGAAAGTTAAGAATATATTCTGACTCTTTAATGTGAAAACAACTATCTGAAATCCTTATCAAACAAGACACAGAGAAAGAGAAACCTTAATAAGTCAATGTTCCCAGAGGGGATATTCCTTAAGCTCTATTTTTCCTGTGTTCATGTTGGTCCTCCAAAAGCTTCTCCCCACAAATACAAAGCAAAATAAAACAAAAAACTTCCCCATAATACATGACATTACGGCTATGTGTGTGTGTGTGTGTGTGTTAAAATTTTAAGTATGTTTGAACTTTTCCATCATAAAAAATTAAAACAAAATAATGATACTGTTAACTATAAATCAGAAAAGGTTACAGTCTATTATAGGCCATTATGATTAAAGTAGTTGTATAATGAAAAAGAAAGAAGAAAGAGGCTAAGTCAAGCTTTGTTTGTGCTATCATTTCATTCATAGGAGAGGGGGCCCTACAAGAACACAGAGGTGTGGGGTTTGAAAAGCATGCTGACAGTATGACAGCCATACTGTGAAGATAGCCTAAATTCAGATTTTTAATAGAGGATATTTAGGGCCAGGGATTTAGCTCAGTGCACCGCCTGTCTCACAAGTCCAAAGTCCCAAGTTTGATCCCCTGTACAAAAACAAAAAAGAAAAAGAAAAAAAGAGAGGATAAGAGTATATTTACACATCTGTGAATGAAGAGGGAATATTTTCTTCCACCCACTTCAAATCTTCATCCTGTAGAAATAAATACTTATATTTAACATTTGCTTCATATCACTTGAAAGCAGAATTTTTTTAGTACAATGCAAGCTTTAAGTATTTAAATTCAAATGCATGAAATTCTTTTACTTGCTACATACTATATGTCTCTTAGAAATTATGTCATATTTTCATAAAAGGGTAAACTAAAAATTGATTTCACAGTTCTGTACTTTTTAGCTTTAGTTGGATACATAGCTATTATTCTTTTGTCCCAAGAAACTATAGCAGAAACAATGTTGACACAGGTGTTATTTTTTTGTCCTTAAAAACTATACTAAAAGCACAGTGTGCTAAGTTAAAAAATAACAAGAACATTGATTTGTACTGATTTTTTGCTTCTCTGAAATTGTTATGCCTCCTAATTGTTCATGTTCTTATGAGTTTATGACTTCAAGAGAAAAGGATGATGGTAAAAGTAATTTAACTTTATCAAAGCCTACTTATTTGTATCAGTTATTTTTATGTTCATACTCCTTTAGGGGATAAGAAAAGCAGGACAGCTGCGGTGCCTACATTCTATTTTCCTAACAAAAAGTTGCCTACAGTTATTTCATTGAGGAAAAAAAAAAGATATCAAATATTTTGAAATATATATCAAAAACATTTTTATTGTTTGCCTGGCTACATGGAATGCTCTAGCTCTCGTATTAATCACACTTTGCCCACTTACAGAGAGACAGTATGAATTTTAAGGAATCCCCAATCTTTGAGTCTCAGGTAGAGATCAGTTTAATGAGCAGTAAGCTCAGTGACTTCTGATCAATTAAGTACTAACTACAGTTAGAGAAATAAAGTTATTATCTTGACATATCTGCAAATATTGAGCTTAAAAATAAACTGATATCACTAAAATAAGGAAAATGCCTAATACATAATAATTATTATTACTATTATTATCATTATTACTTAATCTCCAGAGCTGAGGTTTAAGCAGAGCCTCATGTGTGTTAGGAAAACATTTTAGGCCTGGGGATTTAGTTCAGTGGTTCCGCTGTCTGCTTCACAAGCGCAAGGTCCAGAGTTTGATCCCCAGTATGGATTTTTTTTTTTGGGGGGGGGTAGGTACCAATGATCAAACTCGGGTCCTTGTGCTTGCAAGGCAGGTGGCATAATCACTGAGATAAATCCCTGGCCCCCCAGTACAGAGCGAGAAAAAAAAAAAAAGAAAAAAGAAAAACACTTTAGCAATGGGCTACATCCTCAGCCCTACACTGAAAATGTAATACAGGATAAATATTCCTTATCTAAAATCTTTGTGGCCAAAAGCTTCCAGATTCTGAAATACCTGCATATACATGATGAGACAGTTTAGAGAGAGGTTCCAAGTCAAAAACCGGATGACTTTGGTAACTATACAGGTTAACACAAAGTCTTTTCCCCAAAAGATAACAAATGTTATTCAAAATGGCAGCAAAAATCACTTACTATGCTAAAAAGTTAACACAAGATTTTCCTGTAACACAGCTTCCCCATCTTTACCGTGCACGGGAACGACCTATAGAACCTAGTGAGGAAGCACATCCAGCCTCTGCAGGTTTGGGGCAGGGCCAGGGTTTTCTCTAATAAGTTCCAGAGGATCCTCAACTATGACACACATATAGATTTCTAAAGTACTGAAGATCGACTCTATTAAATATACACTATACTCACAAAATTATCAGAAGTAGCAGGTTTAGCTATTCCATTGGAAACTGTTTTTGAAGTTCTTAATTTTATTCCTTCAGCTACAATGAGAAACACAGAAATATTTAAGATTTTAAAATAATATCTTCCTTTATAACTTCACATTTAATAACCCATTAAGGAAAAATTATTTTCTTCTAAAGAACAGTTAGTTGTGATAACTTAGAGCACAGTGCTTGTTTTATTTTTTTTGGTTTTTTGAGACAGGGTCTCACTATGTAGTGAGACTGACCTGAAACTCGCTATGTAGCTCAGGCTGGTCTCGAACTCACAGCGATCCTCCTGCCTCAGCCTCCTGAGTGCTGGGATTACAGGCGTGCGCCACCACACCCGGCTGACAGTCTTGTTTTAAAATGGAAATGTAGGAAACAGGTATGGAGGGCTGGGGATTTAGCTCATTGGCACCATGCCTGCCTCACAAGTGCAAGGTCCTGAGTTCAAACCTTGGTACCAGGAAAGAGGTATGGAAAAAACTAACTGATTTTATAAAATTATATATATTTATGAGGCACACTGTGATATTTCATGTATACAATGTATTAAGTCAAGGTATTCATGTAACCTTCACTTTAAACATTTATCATTCTTGTGTGCTGGAAACATTCAAAGTCCTGTCTCCTAGCTATTCTGAAATACAGTAAATTGTTGCTAACTATAGTCACCTGCCATGCTATAGAACACTAGGACTTATTCCTCTGGTTTGACTATAATTTGTGCCTGTTAACCAACCTTTGTCTCTTCCCTCTCCGTCTCCCTTTCCCAGCCTCTGGCAATTACTATTCTATGTTCCACATCTATGACATGATCTACTATGATTGGGAACATGTAATATTTGTCTTCCTATGCCTGGCTTAGTTCCCCTAACATGGTGTCATCCAGGATCAGATTTTGACAACTGTTTATCAGAACAACCGGGTTTGTAAGTTTGAAGCCTAGCTTTAGAGTAATTCAAACACAGGAACAAAATTGTAGATTGTTTATTTTAAGCTTTAAGAATTTAAAAGAATCTATAGGATTTGCAGTATCAAATTTAATTCAAGCCGGCGGGAACATGTTCATCTTAAATTTGATACCATCAGGCAACTTGTACCACTGGTGGTACAAATGGTTCTAATCACTTTAATCAACCTTTTTACTAATAAAATTAATAAAAAGCCACCTTTTAGAACAGTCAAGCATGTACCACCAGTGGCTCAAGCTGCCCAGCAGAAACACATTACAACCCTATTGGGAATGTGTTAAAACCTATCTTTGGGTATTTTTTACTTCCTTGGTGTATAAACTGTTGCAATGTGCTTATGGACTTGGGAAGAAAAAGAGATTCTTCATATATGACCAAGGCTCTTCTTTATGTTAGCAGTGCCTCCAAAGGATCAAGAACTTGGGCCTGGAACTAACCCACATCACATATAACTCTGACACTTCCTGTATAATATTGGGCAGCAATTAACTTTCTGTGACTCCACATTGCTAACTACAAAATGAGAATAAGGTATAATCTACTTCATAGAGTTACAAAGTTAGCACATAAAGTGCCTGATACATAATCCATACCCAGCAAACATTCACTTTTGTTATTCCAGTAATTTGCAAATACTACTCCTCCCTAAACTAGGACAATTGGTACTAATATAAAGGCATCCACAGTTTATTCCAGTAATTTGCAAATACTACTCCTCCCTAAACTAGGACAATTGGTACTAATATAAAGGTACTAATAAAATACAATTGGTACTAATAAAAGTTGATATAATGAAACAAGCTGAGATTCCTTAATCTACAAATGTTTCCAGGGAGGACTGGAATCCCAGTATTTCTCAGAGGGGCAATATATTAACTTTTGTAAATTGTAGTATATTTATATACGGTATAAAAATTTTAAGTCACACACTAAAGAGATATGACAATCATTCATAATTATATAACTGGGCCGGGGATTTAGCTCAGTGGTTCCACAGCCTGCCTCACAAGTGCAAGGACCCAAATTCAATCCCCTGTACCAAAAAGAAAAAAAACCAACTCATCCCATATAATTGTATAACTACCATTCCAATCAAAATATTTCACATTTTCAGGGATGGAATGTAGCTCAATGGTAGAGTGCTTTACTTAGCATGCATGAGCTTCAATCTCCAGCACAGCAAAATAAAACATCTCCAAAATCCACAGAACATTCTTTATGTTCATTTCTAATCAATTCTCTAGAAGCAAAAACTATAGCTCATTTTGTCTGTTCCTGAACTTCATATATAGAACCATAATCTACAGAATCTACATTCTTTAAAATTTGGCTACTTTCTTATAACATAAAGATTTCTAAAATTAGTTCATGTTATAGAACGTTGGCTATTTTTCATCACTAAAGAGTATCCCACTGTATGGATATGTCACAATTTCTTTATCCACATACCCACTGATGGACACTTGTGTTATTTCCCAATTTGGACTATTAAGATTAAAGCTACTGTTGATGCATGTGTTAGCAAAGATCAGTAATCTTTGTCACTTAGGAGACTGAGGCAGGAGGATCACAAATTTGAGACCAGCCTGGGCACAAAATAAAATTATAAAAAAGGCTGGGCATATAGCTCAATGGTAGAACACTTGCCTAGCAGGAATTCAATCCCCCCAGGTCCACTAAAAACAAAAATTAAAAAAAAAAAGAAAAAGAAAAATCTGCTAATATGCCCTCGTATCTTTTCTTCCTTTCTTTTTTTGGGACAGGATTTTCCTATGTAGTTCAGGCTGGTCTTGAATACTGTGTAGCTCAAGGTGGCCTCAAACTTGCCCTCCTGTCCAGCCTCTTGATGCTGGATTATGTGTGTATGCCACCATACCTGACTCTTAAGTTTTGCTTTATAATAAACTGTCAAACAAGCCAAAGACCCACCTGGAAAAGAGCTATACAGGTTTACAAGCAACAGCCAGAGGCCCACCCCAAAACCATTGGTAAGTGTGCCCAGATCCCAGTGAGGAGCTGGTGTGCACCAGAGTGGCATGGCTGCAGGCAGGTCCAGCCAGGGCCTAGACCCGACCTTGGCTGCTTAGGCCCACAGGGCTCAGCCAAAGACACACCAGGAAAAGAGCTGCACAGGTGCCCCAACAACAGCCAGAGGCCCACCCAGATACCATTGGTAAGTGTGCACAGACCCTAGTCAGAAACCCATGCAGACACCAGCGACTGGGGTGTAGAGCCCCCAGCCAAAGGCCCTCCCAGACTAGTTAAGAAGGAGGGCAGGCGCTAGGCAGAGGCACACCAAGATACCATCCCAAGTGTGCACAGGGCCCAGCCAGAACCCCACCCGGACAACAGGACAGTGCAGGAATCCAGAAGGCCACCACACTAAACAAAGGAACTGGTGTACTGGTGAGCAACAGAGAAAAGGCTGCTTGGTGGCTTGCTGAGAACTGAAGACCACTGGGTGAGCAAAAAGTTGCCTCAACAACAGCACAGCAGGCTGCATCTGTTGAAGTGAGAAGAACATAAATAAGTCCAAACACAAGACATCCAGATCACATAAGGCAACCACAAAGGGAAACAAAAATGGAACAATCTGATACTCAACCACCTGGACTCTGAAGTGGCAATGAAAGATGTGAAAAAAAATGAAATCAGAAAAAAATTCTCAGGTAACAACAGAGATTGTGTCCATAGTGCAAGGCATGATTAATAAATCTAGAGCAGACTCAGACCAAAAAAAAAGAGGAGCTCAGGAACATGATGGAATCCCAACATAGGACACAAATGGAATCCCTAAAAAAGAAATGCAGGGCTGGGGATTTAGTTCAGTGGTTCCACTGCCTGCCTTGCAAGTGCAAGGCCCCGAGTTTGATCCCCAGTACCAAAAAATAAAACAAAACAAAAAAGGAATGCAAACAGATTTCCAGGAGATTAAAAACTTCACTCAGAGCCAGGGATTTAGCTCAGTGCTTCCACGGCTGAGTTCAATCCCCAGTACCAAAAACAAAACAAAACAAAACAAAAAACTTCACTGAAAGTTTACACAGCAGAACAAGCCAATGTGAGGATATAATTTCAAACATAGAAGACAAGTTGTAATTAGTGACCAGGAAAAGAAAGATTTCTTAAAAATAGTAAGGGACCATGAGAAATCAATCCAGCTACTGGATGATGCAAAGAATAACATAAGACTGATCAGAGTTAATGAAGAAATAGGACAGAGTGCAAACAACATAAAAAAAAATATATATATATATTCACAAAAGTAATGGCAGAAAACTTCCCAAGCAGGGAAAAAGAACTTGATATACAGATAAGGATTACAACTAGTCATGATCCAAAAAAATCTACAGAGGTACATAATTGTTAAGATTTCAGAAACCCAACATAAGAACAAAATTCTATAGGCAGTTAAGAGAAAAGAAACAAATCATATACAAAGGAAACCACATCAGAAATCACAGCAAATTTCTCAACAAAAACCCTCAAGGCAAGTAACATATTTCAAACCCTAAAGAAAAATAACCTCCAGGCTAGGGATTTAGCTCAGAGGTTCAGTGGCCTGCCTTGCAAGTGCAAGGACCCAAGTTCAATCCCCTGTACCAAAAAAAAACAACCTCCAACTCAGTCCAATGTACCCTGCAAAACTATCTTTCAGAACCGATGGAGAAATAAGATACTTTCATGACAAAGAGTACCTGAGGAACTTTATGAATAGCAAACCAGCACTCCAAAAAATTTTAAACAATATACTAGGAAAAGACAAAGAGGATCACAACCCCAGGAAGCTCAGCAAAATGAATTCAACAGGCAAGACAAATTAAATGCAAAGGGTTAAGAATCCAAAAGGTCATGGAAAGGATAAATCAACATATATCAGTTTTAACCATCAATATTAGTGGTCTCAATTCACCAATAAAAAGAAATAGACTGGTAGAATGGATCAAAAAGCAAGACTCAACAATATGCTTCATACAAGAAATACACTTAACTGAAAAAGAAACTCACGGGCTGAAAGTTAAAGGGTGGAAAACAATATTCCATGTGACAGGAACCCCCAACCCACCCAAAAGCAGGAGT